AGTATGCAGAGTAATTTAAGTCTTCTTAGTCTAAATCTCTCATCTGGGCTAAGCCCAGGGGATCCCACTTTGCCTGACCAAACATACCTATTAAGATCCAAAACCTAGATGTTCTGTCTTCCTACCAGGCCAACTGGCACCAGGTCCACTCAAACAGCTGCCAGCTTTTTTTTTTCTTTTTCCTGAGGAAGATTAGCCCTAAGCTAACATCTGCCGCCAATCCTCCTCTTTTTGCTGAGGAAGATTGGCCCTGAGCTAACATCTGTGCCCATCTTCCTCTACTTTATATGTGGGACACCTGCCATAGCATGGCTTGATAAGCGGTGCATAGGTCCATGCCCGGGATCCGAACCAGTGAACCTTGAGTGCCGAAGTGGAGCGCTTGCACTTAACCGCTATGCCACTGGGCTGGCCCCAGCTGCCAGCTTTTAAAACAATTATTCTCACCATAATAGAAGTGTACATGAGCAAAGTGCTACAAGAGCAGAGAAGAAGAAGCTCCCAAGCAGACTGGGGGAGCTCATAGAGGAGGTGACATTTGAGCTGAGTTGTGAAGGATAAGTAGCAGTTCATTTGTTAGAGAAGTGAAAGAAAGTCATTTATGCAGAAGTAACAGCAAGTACAAAGTCTCAGAGGTGAGAAGAGGCATAATTCTGAGAACTGTAAATATGTCAGGGTTGTGGGTGAGAATACCTATCAAGGAGCTTGGAAGAAGATGTTGGGGGCTAGATCATATCAGGCATTGCAAGCCACACGTACCAGTGAGGAGACCACAGGCAACAGAATCCCCTGATTCAACTGACTTAAAAATAAGAAGAATAATGAATTTAGTATCTCAAAGAATAAGCCCATAGGTAGGGCTGCTCCCCTGTTGATTAACTTAGCAGCATAATGATATTATCATAGACCTAGTTTTTTTTTCTATATATCTATTCTGTTATTCCCAGGCTTGTCCCCTCAATTGTTAAAGATGGCTACAGCAGCTCCAGGCATCAAATTCTTAAGATCACTTCTGGAGGTAGAAAAAGGACCTTCTCTTCTCTCTCTCCTTATGTAAACTTTTTATTGAATTATACTCTTTTTAAGATGGAGAAAACCTTTCCCAGAAATGTCTTTCCTCTTCCTTTCATTCCTCCCAATGGCTAACTTCCCTTCAGTGTCATTGGCTGGAAATGCATCGTATGCCCAGGCTCAATATTTGATGAGAGAAGGGGCCACCATGATTGACTCAGACCAATCACAGTTTACTCCCTGGAGCCTAGCACTCTTTAAGCACTAGCCAGGCACAGGAGTATGGTTACTGGAATAAAATTGGGATTCTGTTAACAAGGTGGAAGAGAAATTGTTGGCTTTTTGGGTATGCAGTCAGCAGAATCTGCCACATCATGCCAAGGAATTGGACTATATCCCAGCGGGATGGGGAACCACGGAAGGATTTTAAAACAGAAAGCAGCATGAGTATGTTTCACTATTATCAGAATGGAGGGGTACTCAGGAAGAGCATGGATCTAGAGGCAGGGCCACCAGTTAGAAGGCTGCATCAGAAGGTAATGGAGAGGATTTTAGGCACTTGAATTAAGAAACCTAGTGACTAATTGGATGGAATGGGAAAAGGAAGTAGAAGGAAGAAATTCTAGAATGACTTGTAGATTTCTGCTTGGGTGAATCACAGGGTATTTCATCAGAGCTGGGAATAGGAACAGAGGAGGTTTGGGTGGATAAGGTGAGAGTGGAGAGACAGTGAGTTTGGTCTTGGACAAGGAGGTGCCTAAAAGACACAAAGAGAGATGAGTAAACTTGAAAGGGAGAGTGAAGACCACATTAGTTAAACTCCTTTAGAGGTCAGGGCAGGATGGAGTGTTGAATGAAGAAGAATTGATGAGGAGAAATAAAGTGATGCAGACAACCGACATTTAGTGTGGGACTGGTCTGGCTGATTTTGCTTAGGGCTGGGTAGAGTCAAGGACCTCTTGAGAAAATTGCGAATGTAATTGTGGACAAGCCTCTAAAAAGCAGTTAAAAACCTGTTTTGAAAGATGGATTTCTGTAATTTGTTTCAACACGTTGAGTTACAGCAAATGAGATGGAGAAATGATCTCAACCCATTTTTTTGGCCTCCTAACTGGAAACCTCAGAACTCAGCCGTGTGAGCTATTAAACAGATGAGCACTACAGGCTTTCATAAAGAATTATGCTTTACAAATGCCTGAGGGTATATGGACTTATTGAGGAAAGTAGTGTCCAAACCAGACAGAAAAAGAAAGTATAATGAGAAGGTGTTGGGATTAAAATGTAGGTTTCTTTTCTGTTTTATAACAGTAGTTATGAAATGTAAATTAGAAGATGTTTCAATGCACCTTCAAATTCTAAGTTAATATATTTATAAGCCATATGAATTGAGTACTTTTATTTATTTTTTTTGAGGAAGATTAGCCCTGAGCTAACTGCTGCCAGTCCTCCTCTTTTTTGCTGAGGAAGCCTGGCCCTGAGCTAACATCCGTACCCATCTTCCTCTACTTTACATGTGGGACACCTACCACAGCATGGCTTGCCAAGCGGTGCCATGTCCTCAACCGGGATCCGAACCGGCGAACCCTGGGCCGCAGAGAAGCAGAACGTGTGAATTTAACTGCTGCACCACTGGGCCGGCCCCTGAATTGAGTACTTTTAAAAACATAAATAGGAATTCTATTTCCACTCAAAAACACTCATTTAATGGAACACTGGAATTTGAAATATACACAGGCTTAGAACTGACTGATATATAGACTTAGAACTACGCAGTTGGCAGGCAACTTCAAGAATTGAAAAAAAAAAAATTGTTCCAAAACATATGTTGAGGCTACCTTGTTTCAGGCACTGAACCAGTCTCTGGAAAAATAAAAATACTTGATATTTGTATAATTTTTTGGTTAATCCTAGCTTAATGTAACTATTCTACTCAATGTGGTTTCTGGGGGCCGAGATAAAATATAACACTTGAAGCAGAATAGGGATTGTGGGACAGAGAAGAAAACTGGGAACTGAAAACTGAAGGAGAAAGACGAGTTGGAAAGCCTAACCAGGTTGGAAGGGTAATGGAGGGAAAAAACGACAGTTATGAGAGACTGAATATACAAACTGGACAACAGCCAGGCCGTATATAATTAGGACTCTGACCCACAACCTCTGCAGCGATCAGCCTAGAACTCTCATGACGGGTCAATGACTGTCAGATTCCTTATTTTTTGCTTCTGCCCTTCCAACTCAAGACCACCCAGAGAAAGCCAAAGATGCCCCCCAAATCAATCACATACGATGCCCTGCTTCTAGTTAGCCCACCTCCATGTTAACACTTCATTAACTTCCAGCTTCCCCATGTTAATACTGTCAAATCAGAGCACACATGAAGCCTTCGCCCCTCCTTTTTCTTTTTTTTTTTTTTTTCACTTTAAGCTTTCCCATAGCCCTGACAGCTTTGAGTCTCTGCCAGAGGCAAGAGGCAAGTAATAGTGGTTGGCTACCTTGTTGAAGCAGGCATAGAACAAATAGCCTCCTTTTGGCCTCATTTGGAGGGGCGGGGGGCGGTCTTCATTTATTTCCACAGTCATTCATTCACTTATTTATTTATTTTGAGGAAGATTAGCCCTGAGCTAACATCTGCAGCCAATCGTTCTCTTTTTGCTGAGGAAGACTGGCCCTGAGCTAACATCCCCTGAGCTAACATCCGTGCCCATCTTCCTCTACTTTACATGTGGGACGCCTGCCACAGCATGGCTTGCCAAGCAGTGCGAAAGTCCACCCCTGGGATCTGAGCTGGTTAGCTCCAGGCCACTGAGGCAAAACGTGCAAACTTAACCACTGCATCACCCAGCAGGCCCCTCATTCATTCACTTATTTATCATATATTAGTTGTATATTAGGTGCCAGGCAGTGCCCAGCATTGGTGTGGAAGCAGATAGTCCCTACCCTTAATGATATTCTGTCTATTGGCACAGACAGACACATAAACACAATTGTAATTCAATGTGGCAAGCGAAACAATAGGCATATATGAGTGTAGGTGAAGTAGGGCTTTTAGGGGAGGTGACCCTAAGCCTAGTGGTAAGCAGGGAATACCAGTTGTCCTTGCTGGGAGGCGGGAAAGGATATTCAAAGCAGGTGAAGGAGTAGCGGAGGCCCAATGAGCAAAGTCTAAGTGGGCAGAAACCACTGAGGTGCGTTGCTGGAGCCTAAGGGAGGTGAGGAGAGCAGAAGATGCCGCATGGGCAGGTCACGGAGGGCCATGTATGTGCCACGTTTGTCAGGAATTGGACTTTATCCTGTCCAAGCGGCTCCCTCCTGAAATGAGAGAAAGGACTGATGTAAGTAAGGAAGAAAGACGACATTAAGGAAACATCACCTTTTTATGGATTACTGTTAAGGTCCAGAGGGCAGGGACACAGCGCTCATAATGTCTGGCATACAGTAGACATTCAATGAATGTTGAATGAATGGACATAAGCGCTTCAGTGTAGACGTCATTGTCCTCAATTTATATTTTTCTCACAGGGCAAGACAATGAGGCCGGGGCATCCGTTTGGGGCGCTACAGGGACGGTCCAAGGTGGGAGAACCATTCTGGGCAAGGTTGGTGGTCACAAAACCTCCAATAGGCCGTGGGCAAGGGATGCACGTCTGTCGTGGATACCCCAAGACCCACCCACCGAGGCCGCCCTGTCCCGGAAGCGGCCGCGGAGAGAGCTGCCAGCAGAGAATTCGCGCCGCCGAGAGGGCAGCGGGCGCAGCGCACCCGGGGACCGCTGGGCACCGCTCGCCTGTGCGCCCACAGCGGCCCGCTTGAGACGGAGCCATAGCACGACGCCCTTCCGGATTGGACGCGCTCGAAATCCGGGGGCGGGCACTAGAGGCCCAACGCTCTTGGAGATTGGCCACCGTGGCGGACGGACGTGCAGCCGACGGAGCTGGTTCGCCGGCGGCTCCCGCTGGATGGAGGGCGGGCTCCTCTCCGCGGGTCCCCTGTCAGTCATTGGCTCCCTGCGGTTTCCTTGGGGACGTGGCGCCGCCGGCCCTCCCGGCCTTCTTCCGGCTGGGCTGGAGGCCGCCGAGAGCCGCTCTGGAGCGAGCCGAGCGGTGCTAAGGGAGCTGGCGGGCCGCTCGACCCGTGAGTGTGAGCGCGGGAGGGCTGCGCCGCCGCGAGGGACGGGGAGGGGAAGCGGGACGGCTGGTTCCTCGAGGACGCCACTGGCCCTCGTGAACGCCCCGCGCCCAGGGAGCCTGGGTAGGGTCCGCTGGGCCCCAGGAATAAGAGCAGACGGATCTGGCGTGGGAGCCCGGGCGCCGTGGCCTTTTCACGGAGATCTATTCTCGTGGGTACTGCTGGAGGTAAGCCTGAAACCCAGCCAACTCTTTCCAGGCTGCAGACTTAGGAGATGCCTGGGACAAGGAGACCACCTTCTCAGGGCAAAAGGAAAAGGAGGTGACAGGCGTTGAGACCACTGAAGGGAACCCATGGCTAGGTAAGGCTGCACACTTTCTTCTTGGCTGGGGGCTCACTGGGGGGTGCATGCTGGTTGAGGGGCCCTGGGAGGTTGTTACAAGTGAGGTTTGCCCTAGTGCTGCATATGGACTTTGCAGCATGGTCAGATGGATGAAAAGAAAATCAAAGTTGCATTCTTTTGAAGGCAGATAGAACAATAATTTCCAGCTCATAACCCCAGGGTGATGGAGTAAGTGCTTGCTCAGCTCTGAAAAGTGCTAGATTGTGATGTTCTTTCAAATTTCCATTTGAGTGAGGCTAGATGCCCCTTGAGGAGGTTAAACAAAGACTTTTTTTTTTTCAATGAGCTTTGGACACAGACTGAGGTCCTTTTGAAACAACAAAGAAAGTGAACTTTACAATTGAATACACTTATTTATACATTGTAATACTCCGAAGCTTTCAGAAGAGAGTAATGTGGATCTGTGGATCTACATGTACCAAATGGGATAGTTGTCAAATATACTAAGTGGGGAAAGATGCAGAACAGTAGGTATGCTGTAAAACCTAAGGAATAGAGAAACACACACATGCATATATTGCCACATATGATAAATTTATGCTGTATTTATAGAATATCCCTGGAAAAATACACAGAAATTAGGTAGCAGTGGTTGCCTCTGAGAGGAAAATGGTGGGGTTAGGACAAAAGACTCACTTTCCACTATATATCCTTTGAAATTGTTTGATTTTTTTTTTTTTTTTTACCATGTGCATATATTACCTATTAAAATGTTTTCAAAAATCAGTTGAATAAATTTTCTGACTATCCACGTTTTGGGTAGCATTTTCAGTGGGAATGCTGTAGTTGCTCTGATTCTTCAGTGTTACGAGGTTGCCCAGGGAGACTGGGGATCTTTTATTAACATGAGATTAATTCTTTGAATTGCACCCCAAAGTGCAGACTTTGGAAAAAGAGCAGATAAGGCTTTTTGATTTATAATAGAAACTCTATGAACGATATAGGTCCTTTCCTAAATTTTGGCACTAAAAGAACATTTACACTTCTGGTGGCATGACTTTTTGCCTTTATTAGGAAGGGCTTTAATCTGGTTTAAAAATCATTTTTAAGCACTTAATTTTAGAGACTCTTCTTACTTACTAATGTTTGTCTCATTTCAGGATCAGTTTTTCCTACCTCTGCCCAGCCTCCTGGTACTTCACTGTGCCCACAGTGAGCCCATTTCCCCGTCAGCGGGTGGCACTCCTAGGACTCTTCTTCATATCCTGTCTCCTTTTACTTATGTTAATCATGGACTTTGGACATTGGGGTGCTTCAGTGCCACGAGATAGGCAATATGAAAGGTGAGTCAGCGTTAGAACACTTTGATCAGCTTTGGCGTTGAAGTCATAAATATTTTGCTGAGCTGTGTAACACACTACTACTTTTGACCCTTTTGGGGAATACTGCACTGTTATTAGTAAAATTACATGCCACTTATTACATAAAGAAGATCTTAAGCCCCATTTTAGCAATATTCAGTTTTGATTCAGGAATGCTGATGCTGCGTTTTAACCCATGAAAGACATCTTTCTATTTTCTTGTTTTGATGGGCTGACTTACTGGGTGCATAAATGTTAAGGATTGTTATGTGCTCTTGATGAGCTGACCCTTTTATCTTAGTAAATGGCTCTCTTTATCCCCAATTATATTCTCTGCTCTGAAATCTAGTAGTCTGGTATTGATAATAGCTACTTCAGCTTTCTTTTTTTTTTAAAGATTGGCGCCTGAGCGAACAACTATTGCCAATCTTTTCTTTTCTTTTTTTTAAATTCTTCTCCCCAAAGTCCCTCAGTACATAGTTGTATATTCTAGTTGTGAGTGCCTCTGGTGGTGCTATGTGGGACACTGCCTCAGCATGGCCTGATGAGAGGTGCCATGTTCATGCCCAGGATCCGAATCAGTGAAACCCTGGGCTGCTGAAGCAGAGCATAGAGCATGCAAACTTAACCACTTGGCCAAGGGCCTGCCCCACAGCTTTCTTTTGATTAGCGTTAGCATGATGGATGTTTTTCCATCCTTTTAGTTTTAGCCTGTTGGTGTCTCTATGTTTAAAGTGGGCTTGTTGTAGGGAGCATTTAGTTGTCTTGCTTTTTATCCAATTTAAGAATGTCTGCCTTTTATTTGGGGGGTTCAGGCTATTTACATTTAATGTGATTGTTGATTATGTTTAGATTTAAATCTGTCTTGCAGTTTGTTTTCTGCCTGTCACATCTGTTGTTTGTTTTTCCTCTTTTTCTCCCTTCTTTGGAATTGAGTACATTTTTTATGATTCCATTTTATTTCCTTTGTTGGGTTATTAGCTATAACTCTTTATTTTTTTAGTGGTTGCTTTAGGGTTTATAGTACACATCTTTAACTTATTGGAGTCTACCTTCAAGTAATATTATACCTCTTCGCCCAGAGTATAAGAACCTACAGCAGTATGCTTTTCTCCTTGGCCTTTGTGCTATTGTTGTACATTTTACTTCTTCATATGTTATAAGCTCCACCATATATTGTTATTATTTTTGCTTAGGACATTCACTTACCTTTTAAAGAGATTTTAAAAATAAGAAAAAAATACTTGTATACTTACCACTTCTGGGCTTCTTCCTTCCTTTGTGTAGATTCATATTTCTGTCTGGTATCATTTTCCTTTTGCCTAAAGGACTTCCTTTAACATTTCTACTAGTGTGAATCTGTGGTTGGCAAGTTCTTTCAACTTTCACGACTGAGAAACTTTCATTTTACTTTCCTTTCAAAAGAAATGTTCACTGAGTATAAAACTCTGGGTTGATTGGTTTTTTCTTTTATTACTTTAAAGATGATGCTCCACTGTCTTCAGGCTTGCATTCTTTCTGAGGAGAAGTCTGCTGTCATTTTTATCCTTGTTCTCACTGTACATGCATCTTTTTCCTCTGGCTGCTTTTAAGATTTTCTGTTTATCACTGATTTTTTTTTTTTTTTTAAAGATTTTATTTTTTCCTTTTTCTCCCCAAAGCCCCCTGGTACATAGTTGTGTATTCTTCGTTGTCGGTTCTTCTAGTTGTGGCATGTGGGACGCTGCCTCAGCGTGGTCTGATGAGCAGTGCCATGTCCGCGCCCAGGATTCGAACCAACGAAACACTGGGCCGCCTGCAGCGGAGCGCGCGAACTTAACCACTCGGCCACGGGGCCAGCCCCTGTTTATCACTGATTTTAAGCAATTTGATTGTGATGTACCTTGGTGTAGCTTTCTTCATGATTCTTGTGCTCATGATTTGTTGATTCTTGGATCTATGGATTTATAGGTTTTAATCAAATTTGGAAAAATTTTGACCATTATTTCTTCAAATATTTTTTCTCTCCTCTCTCACTTCTCCTTTGGTGTCTCGAAGACGTATATATTGAGCCACCTGAAGTTTTTACACAGCTCACTGAGGCTTTATTCATTTTTTTCACTTTTTTTCCCTCTGTGTTTCTTTCTGGGTGTTTTATATGCTGTGCCTTCCAGTTCACTGGTACTTTCTTCTGTAGAGGCTAATCTGTGAATTCTATCCAGTGACAGCTGAATACCTTTTTTCACAGAAAATACATCTGAATTATTTGATATAGTTTTATATGCCTTGCCACTTGCATAGAAGATCTATATTTCTTTATAACAGTGATTCATTTTGCTTTTTTTGTTTGTTTTTGTTTTTCTACTTTTTTTTTTTGTGAGGAAGATTCACCCTGGGGTAATGTCCATTGCCAATCCTTCTCTTTTTTTGCTTGAGGAAGATTAGCCCTGAGATAACATCTGTACCAGTCTTCCTCTATTTTATATGTGGATCACTGCCACAGCATGCCTGACGAGTGGTGTATGTTCACACCCAGGATTTGAACCCACAAACCTGGGCTGCTGAAGCAGAGCGTGCCACACTTAACCACTACACCATGGGGCTGGCCCCATGCTTGTTTTTTTAAGATTAGATTCTGATTAGGCTACAAAATGAAATGATGACATGTTGTGTTCATCATTTTCAATGTGATTTTCTCTGTATTGCTTCTCAGAGAGCATCAGTTAGGAAGCTTTGGGCTGCAAGTAACAGTCAAACTGACTTAAATAATAAGAAATTTTATTGGCTCACATAATTAGAAATCCAGGAGCAGAGAGATCACCGTTTCAACATTGGCTGGCAGGGTGGGAGTCTCTGTCTCTGTTGTCCACAGTGTCAGCTTACTACATGCATCCTCACTCTTGTCCTGTGGGCGAGGCAGATCTTCTGTGCTCTCTTGTAAGAATGAAGAACACCCTTCCTGGAAACTCTTTCCTTTAATCTTTTTTGGTCAGAATTGGGACACATGCCTCCTCCCCCTAATGTTTCTGGGTTGTTCTGTCCCCAGAGTTTCTCATTTGCAATTCACTTTGGTCATTCATTCATTTATTCATTTGGCAAACATTTATTGAGCAGCCACTATGCGTTGGGTGGTATAGGCACCAGGATGTGGAGATTTTTGGTACCTTTTTTCAAGAAATGTATATTTTCAACCTTTCTTCCTCCAGCAACACTACTCATTTATATTTTTTGAAGAGGAAACACTTATTTAGATGACTATAGTTGTCAACAGTTGACCTTACAAAGCCTGTTAGCTTTGGAGAACTACATCCATAATTTTAGTTTTAATTAGTTTAAAATGCTTATTGAGATTTTCTTGACACACCTGAGTATGGTTTCCCACTGGAAGACAGCATGGTCTAATTAGGGAATTCTATGTTGGTTAATATGGCTAAAGACTTAGGGAGTGAGTGCTGAGCTATATTGCTGGAGAGGTGGATCAGGCTGGGTCTGTTAAGCCATTTTAGGAGGTTTAGAGATTATCTTAAGGCCAGAGGGAAGGCTTTGAAAGGCTTTGAAGAGTGATATGATCGGAATTGCTTTTTAAAGAAAGCTCACTTTAGTGGCATTGTGGAGAATGAATTGGAAGCGAATAAAAATGAAGGAAAGGAGATGAATTGTAATAGAGATGATGCTGGCCTGAACTTGGGTGTCAACAGTGACGATGGAGAGAAGTAAATGCATTTGAGGGATGCATGGGAAGTACAGTGATCCCATAGTTCTTGTCTACTACTATACCCCAAGTGACCAGATCCAATAAATATTTAAGTTGAATTAATTCAACAAGTTAGCTGCAGAGCTAAGGAACACACAGACTGTACCTGTGTGGTGACCTTACTGAAGTCCCGATACCCTATAATGGTCTGACTCTGACTGAGGAGCCAGTAGCCATATGGTCTAGAGCTCCTTGTTCTTTAATGAAAAGCTATATACATATTGCCACAAATTACCATATATCATTATACTTCATGCATGCCAGCCTCCATGAGTCATTTAGAAAGCAAACTTTTGTCAACAGCTCGCTGCATGCATGGCATTGTGCTAGGCATTAGGGTTCAAAGATGAATAAAACGTGGCCCCTGAACTCATGGAGTTCGTAATCTAGTTAGAGAGGCAGATGTGAAGGAATAATTATTTCCCAATGAGACAATAGTTTATGTATAACTGTGTAGAGTCAGGAACAAAGAATCAGGAACTCTGTACAGTCAAGAGTCCGGAACAAAGTTAAGAATCAAAAATTTATCAGAAGAGGCCCATCTGTAACCAAATTTGATATCATTAAGATCATGTACTAAAAGCTCATATACAATACTGATAGGAGAGGCTCTCACATAGAGCCTGTTTGTTTTTATTTTACACACTGTTTTAATTAGCTTGGTTCTGTCGTCTCAGAACGCAGCAGATAGCAGCAAGTTAGAATGGTGGTAGTGGGGGAGAGTATGGTAGTCATTAGATTTGGGCACACTGATGACAATAGTCAGTAATATACTGGCATCTTGAGAGTGAGGCAGGAGAGAGGAAACATTAAAAGTAGACTCAATAATTCAAAACTTCTACAGACCATTTCTATGGTGGTAAACAGCTCTACACATTTTGTTACAACTGTTTTATTACACAGTCTAATAGTTTATACTAATGGTGACTTTAAATCAGTGATTTTCAACTTCTGTGTATCTGAATCACTTGGGGACCTTTAAAAAATGCAAATAATTGGATCTCTTCTCAAGGTGATTCTAATATTCATCCTGAGTTGAGAAGCATTGCTTTAAGGCTCAGTTATATTTATTTGGGGAGCTGTTGTGGTGTAGAGGAAAGAGGGTTGATTTTAGAGCTAATCAGCCCAGTATTTGCTAGTTGGGTGATCTTGGACTGGTGTTGTATTCATGAATCTCATTTTCTTTATGTATAAAGTGGGGGTAAAAATGCCTGCCTTGTCGTGTTGTCATTTGGATTAAAATATAAAA